TAAGCACTCAAGCATATAATTAAAGGAATTGCTAAGCAGCAGCTTAAAATTCAGTTATTAGATTGTATTTAACAATCTTTAAGAGCATGATCATAAAGAGCTATTTTTGACACCCCCCCTTTTTTTTAACATTTAGTGTTAATAAGGGTTTTATATCTCATCTGTCCATACTGTTTTCCAAGGAATGAGGTGTTGAGGTAGGTGGAAAAGCATTTGTAGGAAGTTAATTTGAATATGGACACAGTGGGTTATTCACATTGAGAATGTTATTTGAAGACTGTCTCTGAAGCCAGGTGTGGTTCTTAGTGCCATAGACCGAGTCTTCTCTCTGTAGGTCACCATTACATAATTTTCATTCTGAATTTCACATTAAATTATTTGAGTTCATACAGACCTAAATTTTAAAATCTGTACATATATTATTTTGATGTATTAAGATGAATAAATATTACTGATTTAGATTTTATTTATACACATACTTAAAGGACAGAAATGTCTGGGAAAGTGTTAAATAATGATATGTAACTTTTTAACTTTTTAAATAAATAACAAGATTTTTAATGTGTGTCTCCCTCAGGGTTGTTTAAACCTTCTCCCCCTCAAGTGTAAATAGTGGTAACTGTATGTTTTGTGTCTTCTGGCACCAACTGCTGTAAAGCGGTGCTGCAAATAGTGCTGGAATAGAAACGGCCAAGCCGACGGCAAAATGCACACTTTCCACAGTAGTTTTGTAACCCTCAAATTTGAAAGCTTTCCAAACGGCACTTGCAGCTAAACAAAACTGCTGCAGTTTTTACTCTATTTACTTTGTTCCCCATGTTTATGAAAGTACTGCACAGTTTCAAGGGCATGGTAACCAATGTATCAGTGTTTATGTAGTCTGTTCCAAAAACAGCTATCGATAACATTACTCAGTGAAAGGCAAACTTCAAGCTTTAGAAAACATGCATGCATGCAGTTTTGGCATATCTAAAAATAGGTCTTTGTATATTGATGGTGGGAGGTGGTTGGGAGCTTTTAACAAAATGAGGTGTTAATTTTTGTATAGTCTGTGGGCATTTACACATTTTTAATGTATTAAAATTTGGTAATTATGTGTACATTAATTACTTCTGGTTATGATTTGTGAATTCCCTAAGACCTTGGATTTTTTTAAGTAACTTTATATCAGAAATGATACTGCATCTTTATATTTTTAAATTTGTATTGCTGCTCAAGAATGGTACCCTCTTGTCAAAAAGGCATACATTCATAATTGTACATTCAGCATTGTAAATAATCTTAATGAAACCTTTTTTGATTGAAGCATTCAGAATAAAAATTTTAATGAATGAAATAACACTTCATTTTTTCTGGGTTTTTATAAATTTGTTTGCTTTTTAGTCACATGAATACTTCCCTTTGTGGATTTATTTTTCTGCCCAATAATACTTCCCATTTACTTTTTTTAAAAAAACTGGATTTTTGAAGGAAATAAGAACAACATTCCGCATATCACACCACGTCTGTGACCATCCTGAGGAAACCCCTGAGTCGGATGCAGTGCAGAGCCAAATGTTAAACACCAGGAAGTCTGAGGGAAATGGCAGAACATAAGAGGAGGAACTTTTAATCTATTAATAGTTGGGAGAATCAAACCAAAAGCTAATACCATGGAGAGAGAAGATGGTTGTGGAAATCCCAGAGAAGACAGGACCTTCATCTGTGGGTAGGAGTTGTTCCCGGGCAGCTCAGCTTCCAGAGACGTGCAGCCTCTGCTAGGGCACACAGGGCTGGCTGTGGTGTGATGAATTCGGCGGGCGAGGGCCTGCCTGCTTTTGGCTCCAGTTCTTGCCAGTCGCTATGGTTTGTGCGGCATGTATGATCCTTTCCACACAGCCTGCTGGTGTGGGCACCGTTCTGCATGTCTCTCCTTCCCCTCTATCACTGCCAAGTGCTTTATTCTGAGTGCATATTGCAGGAAGGGACATCAAGTCCTAGGGGCTTGAGTGAGACTGTCCGTGGTCCAAGTTGGGGTGTGGTTACTCCCCACTGTGCCCTGCCCACTGTGTCTTCCTCAAAGAGGAAAAACGCTGTCTCACCCAGGCAGACCTGCTTTTGAATGGCTAAGCCTCTTAAGCCAGGGATCTGTGACTATTTTATAGCAGACTTCTGACCTGGTGATGGATCCAGAATCTTGAGGCTTGAAGTACTGGAGCTGTCAATTTCATTGCTCCAAATACTCATTACCTCATCCACTTGCTAAGTGGATGGACTAAGAGTGTTTTCTACTCTCTGCAACTTCCATCCCTACTTCTCCCTTCCTGGATAATCAGAATGTCTTCCTAAAGAACAAAACATAGAGGCCATTCTGACTGGATTTTTCCTGGGGAAATAGGCTAAAGAAGTGTCACAAGCATTTGAGTCGGTATCTTAACGCTGTTTCACAGCGCGACTTCCCTGTCTGTCATGTTGGCTCCCTGGTATTTTCATGGGCAAGGAGGGGCCTTTCACTTGATTTGCCTTTGCATGATGGACTTACCAGCTCACCAGTGCAGCAGCTCTGGGCTTTGGAGTTGCATTCCTTGATCAAAACTGAAAGACCTCCTGTGATACCTGGCAGAGGCTCTGACTCTTCCCTGTGGTCCAGGACTGCATGACTTAGAAGGTAATTACAGTCAACTCAGCATTTCCTGGGCTCTGACTGCATTTGGCTACATCAAAGGGTGATTAGATCCCATGATGTAGACATTCCTGATACTAAGCCTTTGTCAGTTATAAGTGTTACAAATATCTCTAGTTTGTGGTTTGTCTTTCCACCTTTTTTTTGGTGTCTTCATGGATAGAAGTCTTAATACAGACAACATCAGAGTGCTTACAAAAGACACGTAGACATACATGTTTTGCCTATAGAAAAATGGGCAAAAGGAAACCCAGCATTCTCAAATGAAGCACAAATGGGCCTTGATTATGTGAAAAGGTGCTCAAGTTCATCATTAAATAGGGAAATGAAAAGTTAAAACCATGCTGCGATCACTTTCATAGAAATGGCAAAAATGAGGAAGTAGCAAGTGTGGGCAGAGATGAAGCACAGGAACTCTCATCAATGGCAGGTGGCATTTTAGACCAATACAACCACTTTGGAGGGCAGTTCGATGTTCCCAAGTTAAATTGAACGTGTCACCACCCTGCAAAGCAGCAATGCCATTATTGAACATGTTCAAGGATGTTCTTGGCCTTATTATTCTCAAAAGGAAAAAAAATGAGTGGAGCATTTGAGAATGTTCTTAGCTTTATTGCTAAATGGAGAAAGATAAACAACACACATACACAACTGGATAGAAAATTAGGGCCATGTGGTGTGAAAAAGAAGACCCAAAGGAGGTGTGGCCCATCCAGGGGTGTGGCTACTGCAGTGATCCAACTCTCATTAAATTTTCTTAGCATCGCAGAGTTATGTTGTGCCATTTATGGAAAAACTCTTCCCACTGCTCTTGGCTTTGACAGTAGGAATCAGGTTATATACGGTCTCTCAGTATGAAGATATCTGTCATGAAAAACCAGAACATGGCCTCTGAGATAGGGTCCTTTCCCTGACCTATTCTGGTAAAGTCTGTATCCTCAGGATGCAAGGATCCTACCCTCTTCCTTTGGAAAGTGTCGAATCACATGCAAAGCTCTAAGTCTTTCAGTTGCTTTGGCGTGCAGAACCATTTCAGGTAAGGCCAAATATTTTAAAAATTAGTATAGGAAATTGGCTCCATTCATCTGTGTGTGCATGAGAAATAAAATATCACCAGAAGCAATTTATGTAAAATTTCACTTGGGAAACATTGTTTTGGCAGATAATTAGTATTGTATGCATTTCACAGAAAATTCAGTGCCATGAGTATTACCTTTTATTAAGCATCTTAGAAATGGTAGCTTTTTATGGCTAAGTCAAAAATACTTCCCTCAAATTCTGTGTGATCCTAGTTATACTATTGAACCTTTCTGTGCCTTTGTGTCTTTATCCTTGAATCCGGGATAATATATTTACCTCCTAAGGTTATCATGAGAATTAAATTCATACAGTATAAATAAAGCGCTGAGAACAATGCTTGGCTTAAAGTGACAGGCATTATTTTATGCTTTTATTGTTGATTGTAAAATGATAGTTATTATATGCTTTTGTTGGCTGTTGATTGAAGGTGTTCGCTGTTTTGGGATGTCCATCGTTTTAATAGAGTAACTTGGTACTGCAGATATAGCATGATTGTGAGCAAAAGAATCGGATGGTGGTGGCTGCAGACTTTGCTGTTCCCTTCTTGACTGTTGGTTAGAGCCAAGGCAGGGTACATTATAAAGTCAAGAGCAGAGCTGCTTTCACAATGGACACTGCTTTGTAATGTCTGGGAGCTTGAATGTGAGAATGATTATTTTAATTAATTCTCTATGTAAGGATTTTTAAGTATTGGCTATTCGGTAGCTTGATTTTTTTTTTTTTTAGACGGAGTCTCAATCTGTCCCCCAGGCTGGAATGCAGTGGCATGATCTCAGCTCACTGCAACCTCTTCCTCCCAGGTTCAAGCGATTCTTTTGCCTCAGCCTCCCAAGCAGCTGGGACTACAGGCTAGCGCCACCACACCTGGCTTATTTTTGTACTTTTAGTAGAGACAGGGTTTCACCGTATTGGTCAGGCTGGTCTGGAACTCCTGACCTGGTGATCCACCAGCCTCAGCCTCCCAAAGTGCTGGGATTAGAGGCGTGAGCCACCGCACCCGGCCTGGGTAGCTTGAAAACACTTTAATCTCAATGCTTTAAACTCAGAGTAGAAAATCAATAAAGCAAAAGAACGAGACCACACAGTGTAGAATGAATGTCTTTTCACCACCTAGGGAAATCTGCAGTCCTAAGAAAAAAGGGAGTGAGAATTCAGGCCAAAGGACTTTTTGCCTCTGCAAAAAGTGCAGAATCCCAGGATTCAGTACGGGCGCGAACGCTCCTGTGCTTTGACCACACTCCCACGGTTGCTTTTTCAGACATGCTGAGGAGGACCCTGCTATGCGCGGTGCTCGGACTTCTACGAGCCCAGCCCTTCCCCTGTCCGCCAGCCTGCAAGTGTGTCTTCCGGGACGCCGCGCAGTGCTCAGGGGGCGACGTGGCGCGCATCTCCGCGTTGGGCCTGCCCACCAACCTCACGCACATCCTGCTCTTCCGAATGAGCCGCGGCGTCTTGCAGAACCACAGCTTCAGTGGCATGACCGTCCTGCAGCGCCTCATGCTCTCCGACAGCCACGTTTCCGCTATTGCCCCTGGCACCTTCAATGACCTGAGAAAACTGAAAACCCTCAGGCTGTCGCGCAACCAAATCACTCATCTTCCAGGCGCGCTGCTGGATAACTTGGTGCTCCTGGAGCAGTTGTTTTTGGACCACAATGCGCTAAGGGACCTTGACCAAAACCTGTTTCAGAAACTGGCTAACCTGCAGGAGCTCGTTCTGAACCAGAATCAGCTCGATTTCCTTCCTCCCAGTCTCTTCACGAATCTGGGGAACCTGAAGTTGTTGGATTTATCGGGAAACGACTTGACCCACCTGCCCGAGGGACTGCTTGGCGCACAGGCTAAGCTTGAGAGACTTCTGCTCCATTCGAACCGGCTTGTGTCTCTGGATTCTGGGCTGTTGAACAGCCTGGGGGCCCTGACAGATCTGCAGCTCCACCGAAATCACATCGGTTCCATCGCACCCGGGACCTTCGACCGCCTCCCAAACCTGAACTCTTTGACTCTTGCGAGAAACCATCTTGCGTTTCTCCCCTCGGCCCTCTTTCTTCATTCGCACAATTTGACTCTGTTGACTCTCTTCGAGAACCCTCTGGCAGAGCTCCCGGGGGTGCTCTTCGGGGAGATGGGGGGCCTGCGGGAGCTGTGGCTGAACGGCACTCAGCTGCGCACCCTGCCCGCCGCCGCCTTCCGAAACCTGAGCCGCCTGCGGGTCTTAGGGGTGACCCTGAGCCCGCGGCTCAGCGCGCTCCCGCAGGGCGCCTTCCAGGGCCTGGGCGAGCTCCGGGAGCTCGCCCTGCACTCCAACGGCCTGACCGCCCTCCCCGACGGCTTGCTGCGCGGCCTCGGCAGGCTGCGCCAGGTGTCCCTGCGCCGCAACAGGCTGCGCGCCCTGCCCCGCACGCTCTTCCGAAATCTCAGCAGCCTGGAGAGCGTCCAGCTGGACCATAACCAGCTGGAGACCCTGCCTGGCGACGTGTTTGGGGCTCTGCCCCGGCTGACGGAGGTCCTGTTGGGGCACAACCCCTGGCGCTGCGACTGTGGCCTGGGGCCCTTCCTGGGGTGGCTGCGGCAGCACCCAGGCCTTGTGGGCGGGGAAGAGCCCCCCCGGTGCGCAGGCCCTGGGGAGCACGCCGGCCTGCAGCTCTGGGCCCTGCCGGGGAGTGACGCGGAGTGCCCCGGCCCCCGGGGCCCGCCTCCCCACCCCGCTGCGGACAGCTCCTCGGAAGCCCCTGGCAGTCTAACCTTGGCTCCCAACAGCTCAGAACTCTGGGTGTGGGCCCAGCCGGTGGCCACGGGCAAACGTCAAGATCATAGCCCATTCTGGGGGTTTTATTTTCTGCTTTTAGCTATTCAGGCCATGATCACCGCGGTCATCATGTTTGCTATGTTTAAAATCGGCCAGCTCTTTCGAAAATTAATCAGAGAGAGAGCTCTTGGTTAAGTCAATCGGAAAATCTAATTCTTTAGAAAGTGACCAGATATGGCTCAGAGGAGAATCCAGACCGGCTGCTGCTGTCTTCCTCTCCCTCCTCCCCTCCCCACTCCTCCTCTCTTCCTCCTCTTCTCCGCCAATGCCACGTCTTCCTTTCCCTCCTCTCCTCTTCGCTCTGTGCTCTTCATTCTCGCAGGCCCGCAACCCCTCCTCTCTGTCCCCCCTCCCTCCCTCCCTCTCCTCAGAACTAAGCTTTGCATTTGTGAACTGTGGTTGCCTGCCTTCCCTAGCTCCCGCTCCGGTGGGGGCGGTGGGGGCGCTGGGTTGTGTTGGGCCCATCCTTGCCCCGCTGTGGCTGGCTTGGCGTCTGGCGGAGAGAGGGGGCTCTACGGAGTAAGGGGACAACTCCAGGCCAGGGCCTGTCTCCTGCACAGAGTTAGCCGGCAAATGTTTGTGAAATCAATGAATGGATAAAGAAATGCATGCGATCCAAGTAATGATGGCTTTTCCTGGAGGGAAAGGATCGGTTGCTCTCTTTATCTATTTTTTATTTTTTTAAGACAGAGTCTCACTCTGTCGCCCAGAATGGAAGCACAGTGGTGCGATCTCCGCTCATTGCAGCCTCTGCCGCCCAGGTTCAAGCGATTCTCATGCCTCAGCTTTTCGAGTAGTTGGGATGGCAGGGGTGTGCCACGACACCCAGCTAAATTTTGTATTTTTTTAAGTAGAGATGGGGTTTTGCCATGTTGGCCAGGCTGGTCTCGAACTCCTGCCCACAAGTGATCTGCCCGCCTTGGCCCTCCCAAAGTGCTGGAATTACAGGCATGAGCCACCACACCCGGCCCTCTTTATCGACTTTTAATTGAGAAGTAGCGCTCTTGCCGTTCTTTCCCTTGCCCCATTTTTCTCATTTTATATATCTCTGACCTATGGGCTATATTTGGGAGAGCACTGGACTCCATTTATGCAATGAGCAATTTCAGGATAGGCGGCTTCTGTGAAGCTGAGAGAGGAAGAAAACACAGAGCCTTCCCTCCAGGCGCTCAGTGTGTCCAGCGTGTTTCCTGAGCCTCCCGTGAGTTTCCACTTGCTTTACATCCAGGCAATACGTCATTTTGAAACTGGATTGATTTTCATTTCCTGGAACTTTGCCACCTCATTTCACAAGCATTTATGGAACAGCTAACATGTGGCTGTTATTCATGAATATAATGATAAGCTTGATTCTAGTTTAGCTGCTGTCACAGTCTCCTTTGTTCTTCCAGCTGAAAGCTGTAAAACCTTTGTTGCTTTAATTGGATATCTGTGCGTGGGAGAGGCAGTGGTTAAAACAGGGACTGGCGAGTTGACAACTGCGGGTTCAAATCCCAGCTCTACCACTTACTAACGCATGGGACTTTATGTAAGTCACCTGCTTACATTCTCTAAGCCTTAGTTGCCTCAGCCTTAAAAAAGGATAAAATAGTACCTGCTTCGTAGCGTTTTTATGAGAATTAAAGGCAATAAAGCATATCATGACTTTGCCCAGTGGCCTGCAGTCAATAAATGGTAATGAATGTTAGCTAGTATTACTAAAGGACAAGCAATTATTATTGGCATCATGATTTCTAAAGAAGACCTTTGAGGGTTTTTTTTTTCGCCCCTTCTGTGTATAAAGGTAAATCCAAACTTTCTCGTACTGAAGGTTACATTCAAATCAGTCCGTCTTCCCCTGTGGGTGGCCTCAGCCCCGTGTGGCCAGGCTCTGTGCTCACGGTCCTCCAACACCACCAGGTGGATGTGGAGAGGACAGCTGGATGCTGGCATTGGGTTGTGGGTGCTGCAGATGTGGGAGTCGGTTTCTGGGTTCTCCATTGGTCTGTTTGTCTAGTCCCATGTCATACTCAATGTCTTCATTATTGGAGCTTTAATAATTTTGGTATAGGCTCATCTCTCTACCTTGTTTTTATTTTACTTTTGGCTCTTTGCAATTCTATGACTATTTCAGGGTCAGCATGTCAACTCCATTGAGAACCCCTGCTGGGATTTTAATAGAAATGGCAGTAAATTTATGAATGAATTTGAGGAAGAATTTGCATTTTTTACAATAACTACTCTTCTTGCCAGTAAGCATGGTTCATCTTCCCATTTATTTACGTTACTTTTTCTTTTTTTTTTTGAGACAGAGTCTTGCTCTGTTTCCCAGGCTGGAGTGCAGTGGTACGATCCACTTGGTGGACAAGAGCGAGACTGAGTCTTAAAAAAAAAAAAAAAATATATATATATATATATATATATATATATATATATATTTCATCTTTTTACCTCATATTTGGAAGGGACTGAATGGATATATGTTGTTTTTCTATATCTTCTTGCTCAAGCAACATATATATCAATGTTAGTTTTTTCTTTTTTAGAGCTAGTGAAAAAAAACCCCACAATTCTTTGAAGAATGAAATGAGGAGTCAGCTGCCATGTCGTGAGGACACTCAAGCAGCCCTAAAGGGGTCTACATGGCAAGGACCCAAGGCCTTCTGCCGTGAGCCAGCTGGGAACTGGCCGGTGTGAGCGGATACATTGGAAGCAAATCCTCCAGCCGCAGTCATGATGATCATGGCCCCAGCCAACCTTTTGATGCCAACCTCATGACAGACCTTGAGACACAGCCGCTCAACTAAGCTACTCCCAAATTCTTGACCCTCAAAAACTGTGACTTAATATATTTTATTATTTTAAACCACCAAGATCTGGGGTATTTGTTTTTCAACAATAAATACCTAATACACACATACAATAAAACCAGGCCACGATGGTTTTCCAGGGGAGTTCCACAACATGTTCAAATAAAAGATAATTCCAGTTTTTATGAACTGTATCAGAGAGCACATCCCTGCCCACTTTATGAGACTGTATAACCTGATACCAGAATTGGTCATGGATTTTTTTTCAAACAATTTATAAGCAAATCTCACTAATAATAAAAGTCCTAAACAAAACAGCAAGCTGAATTCAGGTATATATATATATATATATTTTTTTTTTTTTTTTTTTGAGACAGTCTCACCCTGTCACCCAGGCTGGAGTGCAGTGGTGTGATCTTGACTCACTGCATCCTCCACCTCCCTGATTCAAGCAATTCTCCTGCCTTGGCCTCTTAGTAGCTGGGATTACAGGCACCCACCACCATGCCCAGCTAATTTTTGTATTTCTAGTAGAGACTGGGTTTCAGCATTTTAGCCAGGCTGGTCTCGAACTCCTGACCTCAGGTGATCCACCCACTTTGGCCTCCCAAAGTGCTGAGATTACAGGCGTGAGCCAGTGTGCCCAGCCTAAAAGATGAAATCTTTAGATAAGTTCTAAGTTGTACAAAGAAGCTAGATTTGCTACTGTCTAAAAAGTAAAGGGACCTGCTATATAAAACACAGAAAAAATGTAATGCTTTTCGTAAGAATATAACCTGAGCTTTGCTGAAGCTTCATATTCCATAAGGATGTCTAAAATGCCAGTCCAGGCCAGGCACAGTGGCTCACACCTGTAATCCCAGAACTTTGGGAGGCCAAGGCCGGTGGATTGCTTGAGCCCAGGAATTTGAGACCAGCCTGGGCAACATAGCGAGACCCCATCTCTACCAAAAATGCAAAATTACTGTGGCTGGGTGTGGCGATAGTCTCGTTGTAGTCCCAGCTACTTGGGAGGCTGAGGGGGGAGGATTGCTTGAGCCTGGGATGTTGAGGTTGCAGTGAGCTGTGATCATGCCACTGCACTCCAACTTGGGTGACAAAGTGAGACCCCATCTAAGTTACAAAATAAATAAAATAAAAATTGATTTTAAAATTTTTGTAGTTTAGTTTGCTGATATACATTTCTGCTCATATGTTAGATTGAACTATATGAAATTTTTGATGTTCAACCAATTTTGACCTAAAAAACAAGTTTTGTGTGATTTAACTTAAAATTTCTGGCACTATATGTAGTTCTTCCAGTGATTACATCTGTAGCTTCAAAGCTCACCTTCTTCTTGTTCCAGCAACTACAGATGATCTCTATAAACGCCTTGCTCTGTGTGTTGACATCTGCATTCCTATTTTCCCCATGCTCCTCTATCTCCTCCACCTCCCAGTTTGTCAAGATTGATCACTTTTGTATTCTCTTATAGCTAAAATTTTGGTGATTGTTGAAAAACTTGAAAACGAATAAAAAAGAGTTTATATGTTTTCTTTGTAACTATTTACTATAGTACCAAATAGTTCACTGTCATTTCGTTTTCTTTCTAGCACTTCCTTCATTTTTCTAGCATTTCCAGAAACTACTCCAGGCCACCTAACCAGCTGTTTCCTAGAACTGATCTTCAGCTTTCCCTGGTTGCTTCCACTCTTTCCCAAATTCCATGTCTTCTTTCTTGCCTACTCCCTCATTTTACAACTACTTAGCAAAAGGGATCCATAGGCTATCACTTTTTCTGAGTCTTTGCCTGTAAATTTCTTTATTCTTTATTCTCTCATACTTGATGGCTAGTTTAGCTGGGAAGAGAATTCTAAATTCAAATGATCATCTTGCACCAAAGGTGCTGGTGGGAGTTTGTTGTCATTTTTAAGAGGGGACCTCTCTTTTTCTTGGCAGCCATCCTTAGGACCTTCTGTATGTCCTCTGGGTTCTGATTTTGATTTGATGTTTGCCACTACATTGCTCTTTATTTCATTCACACAAAGGGGCATTTACAGGGTCCTCTGGAGACTTGTGTCTTTTAAGTGTTGTGAGATTCTGTCTTACTTTTTTTGGATAATTCCTTTGTCCTCTCTTTTCATCTTTTTTTGCTTTTTATTTTCTTCATCTTTTTAGTCTTTTTTTTTTTCTAACTTTTTTTTTTTTTTTTGAGATGGAGTTTCACTCTTGTTGCCCAGGCTGGAGTGCGATGGTGTAATCTCAGCTCACCACAACCTCTGCCTTCCGGGTTGAAGTGATTCTCCTGTCTCAGCCTCCTGAGTAGCTGGGATTACAGCCATGCACCACCATAGCTGGCTAATTTTTATTAGAGACGGAGTTTCTCCATGTTGGTCAGGCTGGTTTTGAACTCCCAACCTCAGGTGATCTGCCCACCTCGACATCCCAAAGTGCTGGGATTACAGGCGTGAGCTACCGCACCCAGCCTCTACCTTCTTTTTCTACCTTCTGAGAGACTCCTCAACTCCTTCCAACAATTTAAGTAAAAATGTTAATTTCTGCTGGCAATTGTATTTTTACTTTCTGCGATCACTGTTAATGTTTTAAAAATAAGACTCTTATTCTTGTCTTGTGGATGCAGTTTCTTTTTTGTTTTTTAGAATACTAGGGTTTAAGATTTTTGAGTTCTCAAAGTTCCCCTTTACCTTCTAAATTCTATCTTTTTTCTCTGGGATTTCATTTTGCTGCTATTGTTTGCTTGTTTGCTTGCTTGGTTCTCTTAAACCTTTGGTTGTTGGTTGATATTTTTAAAGTAAGGCAATAAAAGTAACTGACTTTGGGACCTTTGTGCATACCGGCAGGGGTTATCAACTCTATTTTAGGGTATGGGGGAGCAAGCTGAGCGTTACACTGGGAACCCCTACAAGCCAGAATGTTTGTGGAGGGTTACTTATCTAGGATCTTGCAATTTCTTTAAATAACTTTTTGTGTGTTTGTTTTCCTCAGGGCGGGAGCGACTGTTCCTTATACTATAATAGCTTTCAAATAACTCCCTGGCTTTTATTCCTGCAGATCACACCTTTGCATCATACCCGGTCTAATCAATCTTCACGCCTCTCTGTTCTGTTAAACAGACGGAATCTCTCTGCTCACACTGGCTATGGCTCTCTCTTCCTCATCTACCATTCCTTAACTGCTCTGTTCTGTAACCTTGCTGAAATCTCCAGTCCACTGCTGACCTCTCCCATTCCCTGTGACGTTGTGGGCTGATACCATTTCAGTTTCTTTTACTACCATCGAAGTGAGGTCTTTGGAGGGAGAAGAGCTAACTAGCTTCCATCAGTTTGCTTGATTAACTGAAAGTCCAACAATTCTGTTCTCCAAGTTTCCAGCTCTAGAAGTTTCCTTGACTTCTCCTGGGCAGAGTTAGGTCCCCCTTGTCCTAGGCTCCTCATCCCTTTGTCTCCTCCCTCTCCCCCGCTGCATGTTGTAATTGACTTCACTTTCTGAGACCATCGCAAAACTTGGGCTCTGAATCTTTGGTGACATTGGAAGTGAGCGAGTCTGTTTTGGGAGATGTCAATCTGGGCTTCCCAGCTTTTAAAAAATCACTATGACTACAGGGTGTGCCAAAGGCAGGGAGATGCCAGGACTCATTGCCCAGTAGCTGTGCACACCCTCATTAGACACCTGGAATGTTACAGGATGATTCCATCAACATCATAAACAGACAAACATTAATTTGTTTAAGTTCAGTGGCTGGGTCCAGAATACTAGAGGCTGAGAGGCCTAGGGGAAGAAAACAATGAACAGCTTCTGCCCCGTGACACCTTCTGGCTCATAGAGGTTCCCAGTGTAACACTCAGCTTGCTCCTGATAC